GCCCCAAGCACCAGCTTGGGTGCCTGGTGCCTGGAGCCGGCCCTGATTATATCCAGGGGAAAGGAACTCATGAGAAGAAATAGGAATGCAGGAGGTACCATCTGTGTATATATTAAATACTGTATTATTATGGATTGAATTAGAACTGCTGTTGATGTACTAAAAATTTTTCTAACAAACTACACAAAAGATAGACTACTCTAATACATTCCTCATGGTGTATACACTGACACCATTTGGAAACAAGCTAGTTTAAGAGGAACTTTATTTTAAGAGTGTATGAATGCTAGCACTCTGTGAGCTGCAGTAGCTTCCTGAGAATTTTCTGATAGAATTCAAGATGGCAATTTTAACCATTAAAGCCATAAATCACTCAAGACCTAGTTACTAAGAGACATACTGGAACCTGAGATCTGCACAGGGGCTTGAGATGGAAGGAGGCAGGGCATTTTTGTGTATCCACTATCTAGTCAAGATGGTATTCTTAGAGATACAAAAATTACCTGTAATTCTGCTTCTCTGATGATATCGTTTAACTTGATTCCTTCTCAACCATAGTGGGAGACAAACATTTGATGACTTATTTTGGACATAAATTATATGTAGTGTTTAAGGAGCTCTTTGTTCCTCACTGAACGAAATAACATTCCAGAGAGCACTGAGATACCAGGAGTTGGCCTGTGCATTAAAAATATGTATGGGTACTTCAGGGGCCTCAAAACCATTGAAACAGGGAGTTCCTGCTTGTCTCACATGATAGCAGAAGACCCCAGAATAGGAACCCTGTCATATTATAACGTCAGAAAAATTAAAACAACAAATAGGTGATTTTCCCTTCCTTGTCTGGTCTTTTCCTGCATTTCCTATACTATTTGGTATGTGTTTGAACAAGATCTCTCTTTTAATGTCACACTTCTCCTTGAGCCTGCAGTGAAGGCTGTATACTCTTTATGACATTGGTTTGTTGCTATGGTGATGATTGTGACATCACAACTTCAACATCATAACTTCACTGCAGTGTTCAGTAGGAGAGAAAGTGAGCTGAGGAAAACCAAGCTCTTGTTTTAAACACTCCCATCATCCATTATGAGCAAGTGTGTCAAGAAATATCATGGAAAAACAACTGTAAGGTAATTATGTTTTTGTGTAGTCGATATATTTGAAAGTTTTCTCCACTAACAGAGTCTTTCAGTTTATAAATTTCAATTGATGGATGTAATTTACCCAAGTTTAGGTTTAAGATTTACAGGATAAAAAATCACAAGAGAGTTGCTGATACCAATGTAAAAATCAAGTGTTAAACATCTGTCATTTGGTTCAAAACAAAATCAGTTCAGTGTCCTGAATATGAGATCTTCATGTTTGGAATTACTGTTAGCAAAAGTGACAAAAGTATATAATAAAATTATATTTTGTCTAAAGGAGGATGATATTTCTATTTAGTGGGACAGAACAGTAGGATTTACGTACAATATTTCTGTCAAAACTTTTCAGATGTCTCAATATTTTAATAATTTCCTACTCTGGTATATCTCTCCAGTGACTAATTTATACAGATAAGAATTGAAGGAAGTTTTGCTTTCATCACAAAACAAAAGAAAAACAATCCAGACATGGTAATCCAGAATAAATATTCACTTGTTAGGTATAATCTTATGGTTCTGATTGTGTCCATTGCAGGATACACAATATTATGACTGTCTAACCTAATTGAATAAAGAAAAGACAAAAATTTCTAACCAATTCTTCCTAGACATCTAATTGTCACTTCCTAAAGTGACTATACCATACTGAATCTACACACTACTGCTTCTTTTGTAGACCTGACTGAATAAATAGTTGCCAGATATTTCTCCCTCAGCGTTCCTCAGAATGGTCCTCTTCTTTTTCCCAGTTAACTCTTCTCATCTTCAGTTTCTCCTTGTTTTAATGTTCCTTCCACTCCCCTACCCCAACATAGAAGGGCTGGATAGGTATCTTCCTGGAATCAGCATTGCAAGCTAGTAGCTGGACATAATGGGTTGCTAGAGAATGAGGCTTTGATTTCCTTACTCAGTGCTGGGAGTATTGCTTACACACTGCATCTAGTTCTTGCTAGCCAAGAGAGTGAGCTTGATTCCTAATTTACAGGTCATGCATGGCAACACACTGTGATGCTAGGATACTGTTGGGTTGCTCTTTTGTCAGATATTTTAAAGAGCTGAAATTGGGAGTTGAGGAGAAAAATAATTTAATAGAGTTGAAATAAATATCCCTTCTTCAGGTCTGAATTCATTTCCTTGCACTATATTATTTATTTTTAGACAAATGACCACGGAAATGGTTGAATCGCAACAGGATGGAAGTGCAACAGATTCTGTGGCAGAGAGCGATGCTGTTTGCATACAAAATCAGCCAGGCCAAAGTCAGATTCCCCCCATAGCTCAGGTAATTTGACATACAGGAAACTAAGAAAAACAAATAAAAATGATCATTTAGAATTGTTACTTGGATTTGGATGAACATGATACTTTTCTACAGTTCATCATTAAATCCCCCTGCTCTGTATCAATCTTTTGTTCTTAGAGTAGTGATTTCATATTAAAAACAATAAAGATATAGTCCCAAATGATGACTGCTGTGTTATGGACATGGCAGAATAAGGGCCACAGATAATACAGCACATTATTGTAAGTCATTCACAGAAGTAACACTTCAAGAGTTTCTCAGGATGGCACTGTAATGGAAGCCAGTAGACTGTCTTTCTTGGAACTACTGCTATACAGTAGTTATCTGATAATGGTGTCCTATTAAATTGAGGCAGCTACAGGATTAGAGGGAGGAGATGAATTTCATGTATCCTAGAATTTGGAGGTGCTTGATGCAGCAATTTATGATAATGGGTGAAGCTAATTTTTGTCTCCCCCCGCCCCAGTACTCTTGTTTACTCAAAATGAGTCCAATCCTTCAGGCAAAACTTCTTAGAATCATTGCTTATGTTTCCTTCCTATGCACATGATGGCACTTTCTGGATTTTTTTACATTTTTTTTAGATATTCTCTGGGAAAGTATTTTGCTGGTTAATAGAATAGAGGTGACAATTAAAAAATTCAAACTTTAGTTTGATATATTAGGTGAGCTCCATAAAGGCTTCAGTTTTTTTAAACTTATCCATGATCTGTATTAAAAGGAAATTGCTACTAATATTCCAGTATGCTTGTCAATATTTATATCCTGATCCTTTGGAATACTACAGTACTTCAGTGCCATTCAACTCCTATGGCTTTCCATCACGTTTATTTTTAATCCAGACAATGCTTCAGAGATGCATATTTTATCCAAATACAGTTTATTGGCATAACCCCAGTGTGAGCAGGATGCATTCCTGTTTTAGTCTCTGGCTCCCTGTGGACTGTGCCAACTGCTCTGCCGTAGTACTTACTCAAGTGACCTGTCCTTTTTTTGTGCTTATCAGGTTAGTGGTTGTGATATTGTGAAAGGACTCAGCTCGGCAGCACCCAGAAGGGTGATTTGTCGGTTTCTCCATAGAACTTGTGTATCAGCTGCACTCCAAACTTCTCCATATTGCCCATGCAGTTTACACACACACCATATGCACCCATTCATCCCTGTTCTCTTCAACCTTGACTTGAAAAGTCAAGTATAAAGGTTAGAAGGTAGTTCTTTCTGAAAGCTCATCCAATTTTTGGCCTTCTCTACTTTAACTAATAAAGGTCCTATTTGTGGTAGTGATTTCTGTGACATGTACACCTGTGAATTAAAAACTGAATTGAGACTACCCACTAAATATAGGGCATTGTATTGGGGTGGTGGCTGTGCCCATAATGGCTCCTGCTGGCTGAATGTGGCACTATAGATTCTTCCTATTTCCCCTAAGAATGTCACACAGTCCAAAAGAATAAAAAACGAAGTTCCCCTGTTATAGTTCTACTTTATTAAATTGAAATATATTTGATCTTGTTATTAGGTCAACAGAACTAAAACGCTAGATTATAAAATAACTGAACTCGTAAGGAAAAAACACTCTTTAAAATATATAATTTTCAAAAAGATCTCACTGGTGCTGGAAAAGACGTAATCTTGCAGGTGTGAATTGACAGTTAGCAAGCCATGTTTGAGAAGTGCAGCTTCCTCATGTTACAAGCTGTTGCTCATTTTTGATTAAATCCTGTCTCAGTTCGTGCAAGATCTTAAATTACTTGTGTCTGAAGATGAGATGATGGCCAAACATGCCCTACGAGTTAGCATACAATGCCCATTACAATGCAGCCATTACCATTCAATAGTTCTCTTGGCTGAAGTGCACCATATTGCTGTATGAAGCCCAGACCACAGTAGGTCACTTTCTATGTGAAAAGATGTGTTAGTGAAGAAAGAGATGACAGCTTAAAAAAGGTTGAAGACTTCTGGACAACTTTCCAGACATCTTTAGCTACTTTAAATGCCTTCAGTTAAGAGGGTACTACTCCCTTTGGATTCTAGAGGCAGAGCTCTTCCTTGACCTCCAACAGACTGAAGTCTGCTCATAGACACTCCTCTTTCAGGCAGAAGTTTAAACATTTTCGTCAGTGGTCTGCCCTATCTCAGTGGTAAGATTGCCTGTTGCATTGAGCGCCAGGCAGAAAGTTTGATGTGATAGTCAACAGCCTTCAACTATTCAGTTTTAGATTTGTACCCTTTCCTCTTCCTCTCCATTTTCAGAGATCCCTCTCATGAGAAGATATTAAGGGAAGAAGTTATCGTCCTTCTCTAAAAAGAGGATATAGTGGTGGTCCTTTAGTAGTAAAAAGGAGAACATGTTCCTCTCCTATTATTTCTTGCTACGGAAAGAAAAGGGGTTGTGTTGACAGCATCTCTTATACCTGATCATCCATCCATTTTATGAGAAGTACCTCTGGTTTTGTGTAGGAAAAGGCCACTACCATTATGGTATCCTACCCTTTGATCTTTCTATATCACTGAATATTTTCACTGCTGAGTCTTCATTCCTCAGACAACACAAGTATCGTTGTTTCCCTGTATTTAGACTGTTGACTGATAAGAGTACCATGAGCTCAGGGAGTGTTCTTGTTTCTAGGGAAAGCATACAGATACTTCCAACCCTTGAGGTTTTGCCTAAGCAACGAAACACCTGTTTTTATCTTGGCGTAAAAGATGGGATTATTCCGAGCCCTGAGTTTTCCATACCATTTGGGAGATAGTATCCTCTGGGATCCCAGCCTCTGAGAAGTGTACTGTTGTTCCTGAAGATGTTAGGCTTAATAGCTTCATGCACCCATGTGACCCCACTTACTAGGACTACATCTGAGGCCTCCACAGAAGAAAGAGTCCACTGAAGAAGAAATCCTGCAAGGTGAACTTTTTACCACTTAAACTTTTCTAGACAGGATTCCTGCCCAATGAAGACAAGTGGTCTGTACTTTCTGATACCCTCATTTTGAGCCCCACATATTCAGACCCCAGCCAGCTAGTCATCACTACAGTTGTCTCTTCAGGGGTAAGTGTTGCTGCTTTTCCTTTGCTGGACAGCATTTGCTCTGTTCGTTCATTCTCTCTTCTGGTACTTTTGTATCCCCTGTAGATAAAGAATCTTCTCAGGAAAGTGCATGTATTCAGTGTAGGGGTGCTCCTGATGGTTTTAAGACTCCTGTGTTCCTTCAGGCGGTAATTTCAATCTTCCAAAGATTGAACTGGAAAATAAATAAGCAGCACTTACTTGCCTCCCCCTCCCACCCCCCCTTTTCCTCCCTCAGGTGGCTCAGTTCAAGTTCTATGCTTTAACTAGGAGTAATGGCACGAAATTAAGAAATATACAATCTAGGATGAATATCAGGATAAACTTCCTAGCATTGAGCACTATTAGCCTGTGGAATAGTATCTCAAGCGAAATGCTGGAAATTCTATCACTTGGGACTTCTGACAGATAAACTAAACAAAACTCTGACTAATTCTGCACTTTCCCTTGGGAAAGATTTTTTGTAATTATCTGTGTCACAGTTCAGGGCAATTACACCTGTATTTCTCCTCCATGGTTCACCCAGGGCATGCACTCTAGGCTCCTGGCTCTTCAGCTGTCACCTCTTTTGGGCAGAGACCCACATTTCTCTCCCTCCTGACCATTGCATTTTGAGGCTGCACAGTTCCCTGCCCGCACTGTGATATTTCCAGCAAGCCAGAGTGCCTACACAGACCAATGTCTGTGCTTTGCTTTTTCTCCAAAGGCTATGAATAACTAATTGCCAGCAATTACAAGTTACCCCACAGCTCTTAATAAGCAATCACATTTATTCTTAAGTGAAAGCATTACAGAGAAAACATATTAAAAATGACAAAAGTACCTACAAACATGCTAATAAGCTTACCAGAGATCATCCCCCTACTTCACCAAGGGCTCTGGTATGAGTCGGCCTTTTAAACCAAGATCACAAGTTCATAACAGCCTTAGCTTAGAACTAGCACACCCATGGATAAATTAGTTTTTCCTTTATATAGCTTGAGCCCTTGATCTTGAAAAAACAACAAGGAGTCTGGTGGCACCATAAGCTTTCGTGAGTAAAAACCTCATCCGAAGAAGTGAGGTTTTTACTCACGAAAGCTTATGCCCAAATAAATCTGTTAGTCTTTAAGGTGCCACCAGACTCCTTGTTGTTTTTGTAGATACAGAGTAACACGGCTACCTCCTGATACTTGATCTTGAGACTCCAGGAACAGGTAATCAGATAATGGTCCTCTCCCCAGGGCATATCTTCAAAAGGCTAGGTTTTTGCATAAGCAGAGGGGGGGAATTTGCATTCACCTCCCTGAAGAGGTTCCCCAGGCAAACTTGTTACTGTTTGTCCCAAAAGTCCACTTTTGTCTGGCACATTATTCAATGCCTCCTTTGAAGTTCATAACTCTTCCCAGGGTTCACATCGCATCTCCCTGCTGGAGAGATTACATACAATCCTGGCCCACAATAATACATAACCTTTGCATTTGATACAATGGGCTGCAAAGATACTTACACTTCATTCATTAAGGTTTTTGAAGGATGTTGCAGGTCATTGTCAGATCTGTCATAATCAGCACCAGATGATTAAAACCACACTAGAGATACACCTTAGTTAGATGTTTCAATTAAAATGATCAACTGTGAAATAGTGAGAAATTCTGGTATATAATTTGACATGGAAATTTATAGTTAAAGCAGTTTACACCTTGTTGTTTTCTGCAGACTCAGGAAGAGAGCACAGAATCAATTCACATTTGGAAAGTTTTCTTTTCAGCTATAAAGGCTAAAACATATGATCTGATCTTCAGACGTGTTGAGTACTCACAACTCCAGCTGAAGTCAGTGAGAGCTGTAGGTGCTTAGCCCTTCTGAAAAAAAATAGGTATCTTACAATTAAAAAAAAAAAAAAAAGCTTAAATTCTGCAAAAATTTGTTT